TTATAACAGCATCACGACAAGAGGCAATACGATCGGCCAATTTCAATATTGTAAGCCTGGAAGGCATTAGCTTCACCGCCGAACGGGGTGGCGCATCTACGTAGCATACAACATACATTTCAGGTTTGTATGGCCTATTGTATTTTCCAAAGACACTGACTAAAGATGCCTTTTGGTATGTGCGTGTGTGTAGTGTCGTATACGCATCTGTTTTTCGAATAAGTCATTGACAACCGTTATAGCAGATTAACTGGACCGCCGTTGAGCTGCATCGTTGTCTCTCTCAGCATCAGTTATTGCTTCATAGTTCTAGCTGCTCAGCAGTAGTCCTCTGGACTCAGAGGAATTGGGTCTGTATGTGAGGAAGTGCCCCCTCGTCTCTTGTCCAAGACGGTTTATCAGGCGACCTAACTTTGATTGGGTGGGCGAAGCATAATCATCAGGACCAGTGCCTGTGTGTCCGTCTGTTGTGCTGGCCGCAGCTGTATACGCGCGACGCAACCCACAATTGAAAATCGTCATTAATGAAAAAGAAGAGAAAGGTCAATGCAGTGTATTACTAGCACTACTTCCTTAACTTGCTCAGGATAGGTGGGTTAATAAACACTCGCCACCTCTATGTGTCAATGCTGATTATTTTTCAGGTATAAGTGCGGTCGGTGTCTATCCTAAGTCCGTAACGATGTTGGCGCGTATGCGAGGAACAACGTCGTCCAGTCATCGCCATTAAGCAATTAGTTAACCGATATCAAATCGATCTCTCGAGTCAGGTTATAGCAGGCTTCGTCAACAGCTGATACTCCAACGAGCTCTGGACGGTGGCTGAGTGTTCAGTTCTACTTACCTCGACCTTACTACAGTAGCTTCTAATTAAAAATCAACGCTCAACAACTGCGACTGCCAGGCCTATGAGACTGAGCTACGTGGGAGACGTGACTAACCGTTTATGAAACGGCACTTTTGCAATTCAAGAGTCAACGCGCGATGTCTGTCCGCCTACTCTGCCGCTCTCGCGCTAACTGTCTTCAGTTGAACGACGACTGATTCTTCGACGGCGTAGGCGGCAGCTTGAAAGGGATTGAATAACTTAGCAGCAGGAGCAGGCCGTAGTCAGTCTATGTGCGCGTATTCTTCCTCGTCTCTCGTACGCCACCCACCTCCCACGTAACGCCTCCGTAAACAAGAATCGTTATCTTCCAGTAAAATTAGTGGTAGTAATACAATCTAGTCGTAAGTGCCGTCACCATTGCAGACGAACAGTTCCCGCTGAACGGGCACGGACCATAGTAGCAGCGCTGCGACTGCTCTACGCTACTTATGACTACCTACGACGAATTGACACCATCGCCGTGATAGCCGCACCGTAAACTAAAAGGGAAAATATATATATATGTACATATGCAAGTGTATATATATCTGTATCTATCTACGTATACACCCAGACAGCAAGAGAAAAGAGCGCTTAAGTGTCGAGAAGAAATGCTAGTGTATTAACCAGGCTGGCAAACCACAGTATCATTGTGAGAAGCACTAGAAGCACCAGAGGCGAGCGTTGCCACCCGCTGCCGCTCGTTCACAGTCGCTGACGATCACAGGATTACAGCTGGAAAAGTTGATAGCCGAGACAGGCACGAACGAATGTAATTGCCCGTTGCTGCGAATAGGTAAATACTTCGCTGCCGACGCTGTCCCATCAGCGACCTGTGGCCGAGCGCCACAGGCCACATGATTAGCTGTTGCAACAGGACGAACACAGTCGACGTCGTAGACGGATAACGGGCAACATGGCCACGGGACCACTCGCAAAATGTCTATTGGCTCTGGTAACTACAAGCTGGTGCGATTGAACGTCTCTATACGTACAGTAAACTACAGGAACCTGGCGTTACCGTTGTGTAGCAGCAGCTACCGGTTGTCATCACGTTATCAAATTAACCGGGTATACGCGAATCATTGACCGAATTGTATTTTGTAATTATTCAAGCAGTTCTTAGCAGCTTAGCTCAGTCATGTCATGACGTCTCTAATTGATAGTGTGAGTGAGTTTGTATTGAGTTACGTTAATTATTTGAGTGACGATCGATTCTATAGCTGGAAATCTTCAGCTCTGATGATGCACGTAATGGCTATACGCAGGATAACCGCTGTTCGTTTCGTGGATTGTATCAGTAACAACGTACGCTTTTGCCTTCCCGTCGATGCTGCTGTGCGAGCTTATCACATTAGTCGAGCTCGTTGACGCTCCTTTACCATCAGTTTTGCTCAACTCTAGAAGTTTGTTATTGGGCAGAATAATAATAAACAGAGAGAGAGAGAGAGAGAGAGAGGGGAAGGGAGAGAGAGAGTGCGAAAAGTATCACTGGTTTTAGCCAGTAACGGCAGCTGCTATAGAGACGGCAGCAAAAATCAGCTGAGAATACGTATTGTTTAACGCCTCTTGAAGCGGGTCGTCTCGCTATCTCGTATTCACGGACAGACATATTTTGAATATGGAAACACGTGAATACATAGTAATGCTAGCTGATCCAGTAACAGCCTCCGTCTTTGCGTATCATCACTGCCAGCAACATTCTAGCCAACGATCCAGGAAACGACGATCCGATAATGCGCTACGACGGAAAAATATTATCGGTGGGAAAAAAGAGCAACAAATGCAAATTTATTTAAGCAGCGACAGCAGCTTAGAGCCGATCACGACCCCGCGGCCGTGATCGCGGCTGTGAGTGACGCCCTTGGCATCCGTTGTGGCATACCCACTGACAAATAGTCCTAATATGTCCGGAACGTTCCTGAGTCAGGCGCAGTAACGACAACAACAACAACAACGACGACAGCCGCCCAGAAGAACGCTTCAAGACAGCAGAAAGCCGCGCTATTAAGCAACATAACAAAGGTCAGATGACGAAGGAAAAGAAAAGAAAACGGCATCAATGAATGAAAAGTGTTCGAAGACATCAGTGCACCTTTACATAGACGCACATTGGTTCGCCTTCCAGTCGCTCAATAGGTCAGAACGTGCGGCCAATCGGGTCAATGTAATGAAACAATACAGAAACAGAATGAAATGTCGTAACAGCTTCATGCCATAAAGCTGCGTACGGCAGTAACAACGTGTCTCTACTCCATCTCTTTCTCGTCTTGTACGATCGCTCATTCGTCGTTTCTCAACGACTGTCGACTGGAGAGCTCCACTGAAATACTGCGAACGGGTGTCACGCTGTGTGTGTGTGTGTGTGTGTATGTGTACGTACGTACGTACGTACGTACGTGCCTGTCTGTCTGCCTGCCTGCCGGTCTAAGTGTCCGTGCGCTTGTTGTCCTCCTGTGCTCGTTCACTGTCATTGCCCTAGTGCTATCTCTGCTACTGCCCCGTTAAGTCGCAACTGGGTCCGACAGTGGCACGTGCTTCATCGACTGAACGATTTGTCACATGCTTCTGTAACAACGACCGATTTACGGATGTGAGTGTCGGCGACGGTAACAGCAGCAGCAGCAGCAGCAGCAGTGAACATCGGCTGGCCTAATCAGGCCTGGCTGGCTTGCGACACGCTAGTCGGCTATATGCGCTGCGTAAAGTTACCGCATTACGACAATGGTGACGGTGGGTTGTAAACGCCACATGACTGCCACAGCATGGAGCATGATTACTATTAAGAACAGTATTAGAACATTAACATTTGTAACTAATTCAACTCCTGTTATTAAGGCGGCAACAGCTCAGTCGGCCAGCGGCCCTACGCGGTTAACATTGAATGGGGCATTTTTGACAGTGACATCAGCAGCGGCGGCGTGGTCCGTGATAGTGGCCGAACTTGTCACGAAGGCGGCAGCGCGTCGTATAATAACGCCGTTGAAACGAGCAGCGTTTTATCAAACAGCCATTATGCGAATTCTATTTGTCACCAAAACACCAATGCGAATATTATAAATTTTCACATTACAACGAAAATCTATGACTTGTCTTGCAACACGAAACGTGATCTCGCGTTCACCTTCGACAGCGAAAGGAACGACCTACTCATCCACTGGCGACGACGGTGACGATACGTGCTGTGGACGTTCCTTGCTGAAGTTCGTGCCGCCGTTCACGGAATAGTATCGATGTTATTCAGTGAATGAAAATTGTAACGGCAGCAGAGAGTGGAATGGATTTTACCTGCTGTGCAGCACAATAGTGAAGTGGACGACAAGTACGTCCGTGATGATAATTTTCGGCAGCACCTGCAGCATCGATCTCGCGCGTTACAAGTTAGAAAAAGGCAGCTGGTATAGGGAGACCACTGCTGCTAATACTGGAACTGCAAAGCGGAATAGTGAAAATATTAACCAGCCCCCGTGAAGCGGCGCATCAACGGGCCAGTGAACGCGCCTAAATCGCTCCTACGATTACTATTGCAGGCTATATAGCTATCATGTCGTGTCCTGTGATGTCGCGACACTAGTAAGCTTTACCCTGTGCTATAACAGCCGTCTGTCTGTGTGCGTGTGTACGTATCGATCGCTTACTCACTGGCCGGCCGGCTGGCTGGCTGGCTGAAGCCAAAGCTGAAAGCTGCTGCTGCTGCTGCCGCCGCCGCCGCCGCCGCCGCCGCCGAGAGCCGTTCGGATAGAACCAATCGAGAAGAAGCATCAAGCGGCAAAAAAAGAGCGCTCTAAGAAGCAATAACCGATGCGTCTGCCTCTAGGAGAAGAGGCCATTGTTTGCACCACAGCGCACAGGGCTCTTCTACACCAGTGTCAACATCATATCCTCAGCGGTAGCAGCAGTTAAACGACGTCAGCACTCTCGTACCTTATACAACCAGTCAGTGTCTTGCAGCGGCAAAGCGGCAGCAAAGCCGAGAGCTAAACCTGTCCGAGCTCAGCAACTCGAAGCTCACATCAGCCGAACCAGGAACTTGTATTAGGCGATCGTTTCGGCGCTAGGGCAGAAAACATCAGTGATCCTTACCACAGCAGCTGCAACGGCGGCGGCGGCGGCGGCGGCGGCGGCGGCGGCGGCGGCAGCGGCGGCGGCTCCAAAGGCAGCAGCAGGAACCGCGTATAAAATAAGCAGCTGCTGCTTTTCAGTCGGAAGTGGATAGAGTTTGTTGGGCACATAGTGGGTCTCCCTGTGTGCATGTTATGAACAGGCCAACGGGGCCACGAGGGCAAAAAAATAGCAACAAGAAAAACCTACAGCGATTACAGATCGAATGGAATCACAGCCACCTAAGAAAACCTAAAAGCTCTGCGCCACCTTTGCCTGACTGCATGTCTGTTCCGTGGAGCAGCAGCAGCCGCCGTCGGACAAAGCGAACAGGGACAAGGCAAAAAAAAATCTGTACCGCGCAGTGGAGCCATTGTCGCTGTCGATAATAGTTGTAAGTCCCCATTATCACTGCAGGACTTGATGGCATTGCAGCGAAGCAATTAAAAGAACCAAGTGCCGGTCTATATATATATAGATATATATAGCTACATATATATATATATATATGAGTATATATATATATAGCTATATATATCTATGTATATATACATAATTAAAACCTTTTGCTCTCTAAAAATATTCTACCACTAAATAGAGTGAACTTCGTCTCGTGCGTGCACTACTCGTGTATGTGACCATGCGTTCCTTGTGCTTCTCACCATCGTCTTAGCACGTTAAGAACGTGATTGAAAGCTGCCTTTGCGGAACTTGGTTTGCGCAAAGCCATTTAGTATCGTGGACGTCTAAAGGAGAGACCTTGAAGGAATACGAAACCAGGAAGATTTGTTAACCCAGCCGCCAAAGTTCTCGTCTTCCGTTGACGAGCTGCACACGTCCCACTGACGTCGAACTGAGATTAAATTGAACGGCAAAACAACCATACAGTATCGCTATTATTAAGACATGGACTGGCGACGCTTGCCTGTAGCTGATCGTATGCTACTTGCGGCGATGGTTCCAAACATCAGTGACATCTGCGACACCTCTGGTCACAATGTCAGCGAGGATTTTTGCGATTATTATTGTTGTTATATCTGTCATTATTCTAGTCTACCAACAAAAATAACAACAGTTGCAGTGGAAAGCGAAAAACAAAACGGCAAAAACAATACGGCATGGAATACAACCAGCATTCTCATAATAATAAAAATTATTATTAAGATTAGCTGGGACACCGATAAGACAACGAGAGTCGAATGTTCAATGTTGCCTAAGCAAGACCTTCATCTGCCTCTGACGGTCGCGTTCCACGCGCATTAGTGATGGCCAGTGAGCTCGAAGGGTAAGCCGCTTTAAGAATGAATAATGACATAAGTAGAATATAGAAAAACGATGATGAAAAATATAGCTAAGTAGCAACGAAATTAAAGGAAAATTGCTAAAAAATCGAAAAGAGTTTGACCCCTACACAAACTCAGCAGCACCAGCTTGCCATTGCCGCTGCCATCGCAGTCGCCGTTCACTTCTAGCTATTCATAGTAAGCATGTACACGTTTCCGCAATTGTACGAAAAGCACTCACTGAGCGAGCCTCAAATGAACCCAGAATGCCTCCATGATATAGAAATCGAGTTCATCTTCACGTTTCTGCTTTCATCTAAAACTCAGATGATATGTGCACTCAGATTTAAAGACTGACGCCACCAGAAGCTACTTAACTGTTATAGTAAATAGCTAGATAGCGGTTTCTTTGGCTGGAGAGGTTGGTTTTACGTGACCATCGGTGTGAGTCGCTCCGTGTGTTCAATCTTGCTTATGCTAGTTTTCCCGTTAGCGTTAGTGTGGACAGCAATGACTGCTGCTACTGCTGCTGATCTTTATCCTTGGCTGTCCTATTCTGCCCTGCCTTATGGACATCAAGGAAGGAGTACGGCCGCCAGCAAGCGAGCGAGTGGTCCGCCATCGAGAAAGCAGCAGCTGCTATAGACAGAGACAACCCTCTCCTTCGCAATAAACACGGCTAAGCCTAGAGTGGCAAATGTCAAGCTAGCCTTCGAAATAGTCCGACGGATGCTTTCACCCGCAATTTGTATCTATATGATGGCGCTGTCGAGCAGAAGAGATGCGACGCATCCGCGAGGTCTGATTGCGACTCATCTGATTAGGTGTCAGGCCACTCTAAGTTCGCTGATCGCTACTAGACCGATGCGGGTGGTTGTGGTTCGAGTGCGGGTGTTCGCGGTAGCACTAGCGGATGCCCAGAGGGGCAAAGTGACGGTCGGTTTTCCTCGAAACACTAATGATAGTACGTGAAGCGAAGTGCGCTGTACAGCTAGGGCATCGCTCGTGACGAGCGTACTCGCGCTACGAACAGCGACGGAGAATGTAGCGGCGGAGAAACGAAGTCGTTGAGGGCGATGTGGCATATGGGGTTCGTTTAGTTCAGACATTAGGTGCTGCTGTGTTCGTGGTGGGGATCGTCGTGATGTCTATAGTAGTGGTAGCTGTGGTGCGAATATGGCGTGAGTTCCGGACGTGGTGCCTAAACGCAGTGGGCGAACAGTCTGTTAATTCAAATAGCCGACCATGATCACATTTTGTCATTGTCTTGCGCCCACTCTTGAAAATGCCGTATGTTGGGCAAACTGTAGGGCCGTAGCGATTGAAAGGCAAACGGCTACAGCTAGAAAAATTTTAAAAAGTCGATAGTCAAAGTGTTAAAAAAAAGTCGATATAGTTATTTTACAAGAAAGACTGGTCTCATCTTGTAGGAATCCTCAGCGTGTTTAGCTATTGTAAATATATATTTTCTTGAATAATTATAATAATAATGACGAACAATAAGCTCAACATGACACTGGAAGCACATATTGGTACATTCTATGCGCCTCTTGACTCGGAATTCGTTAGAAAAACTCAGTCTGCTTTGTACGTTACAATTTAAAGTGATTCATTAATTAATATATTCCAATTACGCGACGATACTGTCTAAAGTCTTTCGAATCTAGCCATAGTGTTAAGGTAAATAACTCTACGAATCCATTTTCTATCTAATCCTATTGTAGCACCACAGCTACCTTGATGAGACTGCGCTAAAATAGGTAATGTTATACATAGTATGATATGGTGTGGCATAGTACCGTATAAATCTATTATCAGTGTGCGTTTTTGCCAATTTATGGGATAGTTCTTTATCGGCTGATACGTCGCGTAAGCTAACGTTGTGTATAACATCTAGTTCGCGTTCATGTCGTCTTGTTTTGACTCGTATTATTGCAACATATTTCAGCAGGAACGGAAGTGGGAGTGGAAACGTGTCGGCCAATTGCCTGGTCCGAGTTCGCGCCCAGGTCATGGTGCGCGATGACTCCACCGGCGGCTGGGTCAGTGTTATAGAAAGCGGCAAAGACACGGATTCCGATTCTTAGCCGACAGCGTATATATATATATATATATATATATATATATATATACACAGCATGCTATATGCACAGCATAAAAACATAGATATTATAAAAAATAAACAGCTACGATGCGTTACGCAGGCGGCTTAATGGCAATGATTGAAAAATTAAGCTGATATAATTAAATTTGCACGCCTAATACCATCAATACTGCGTTTAAACACCACCGGTTATATCTGTGCGCATCACTGTAACGGAAGCCGTTATAATAAAACTACTAAATTCAGTCTCAGTTTCAAATAACCACTTACGGACAGCCTTTTATTCTCCTATGTAAATGTAAATCCTGATACAAAATTAAATTAGGCACCACATACAGTGCGCTTTCCCTACCTATAATACAGGTATCGTGATGGTACCATGAGATAACACCAAACCTGAATGCTGACAGATTATTTTAGGTTGTCTTTAGTCAGTGATCACTCCAAATATCCTGTAACAGTAGCGTCGAACAAGGCAAAATAATAACGATATGGCAAAAATTAAGGCAATATATAGGAACCAAGGATATATAATTAAATTAAAATGGGTAGTCTTGCAAAAGCACATGATCAGGTTTATGGAGAGGTAAAAATATCTGTCTATCCCTAGAGTCTCATCAGATAGCATCGCAACTAACTGCTAATGTATTTTTATTTAGAAGTGGCCCCTCTCCCCTTAGTGAAACTAACTTTTTGGCCAGGGCTAATGGGCAAAAAGAACATCGTTGACGTTGACATGGCCGTCAATGTGCGATCCCTTGGGGTCAATGGCCATTTTTGAACACGAACTCGTCTTTTTTCGAACGTCTTTTCAAAGCTGAGGAAAACAAGATGCACAGCAGGACAACGCTTGGCCAACAATTGAACAAAAAGCACAATTTCTCCTTCAGATATTGAGCCTATTAGTGCTTCAATACAAAGCTAGATGTATTTCCTTTTTATGCTTTTTGATAATTTTCAAGATATAATTTTTTGGAGAAATTCTGTACAATACTAAATTGCGTTCCGACCAGTTGTATGTTTATTCTCACCTAAATCAACACTAGAAATCGGTTCTAACTGCCTGATCAGTAAGTCACTCGCAGAAACTTGAATCTGTAGCTCTTACGTTTAGTTTATTTGTTTCTTTACTTATTTTAGGTGCCAATGGGCGGAGGCGGGTTATCACAGGTGTCTGTGCGAAAACGTCTCACGCTAATACATAATGACGACCCACATGGGACCCAGGGAAGCCATGCCGGGCCAAGTGCACCAGGCGCTGGGGGTTCCAATTGCGCCAGCTACACAACTGATTACCAGATCTACGGTAAACGGCTCACAGACCAGTTCGTCGTGCTCTCATGTGCAATCAGTAAAGACTTCACATATAACAAGGTATGAGTCTTTAAGTGATAGAAGGAGGTTAAAATCATCTCCTATAGCCATTTTAAAGATAATAACATAAGACGGCTCGACATAATACATCTAGATTAGTTCTATCCCATGTTCAGCCCGGTGATTACACTCTTTACACTAAAATACAATAGTTCTTCACCATCTGAATAGATTCGACTCCTTGAATTTACTGCTTATAGGTGTGGCATGTGCCTCTTTACCACATTGCAATACATTATACTTTACGACTTCAGGTGATGCCGACCTTTCATCACTGGAAAAGCGGCGATAATAAATTCGGCCTCACGTTCCAGACGTCGTCAGACGCAAAAGCCTTCGATAAGGCGATTCACTCTGCCATTGACGACCTGTTTGATCGTATGTATTATCATTGTGGCATGCGTAAACAAGCTACATACTAGGATAACAGAATTTAGATTAAACTTTGATTTAGTATTAATCTCGAAATTTTTCTTATAAGGCAAAACTCATAACGTCCAATAGGTTGAACGTTTTCGTGGACACGGTTTTACTTAGAGTACAGTCAGGTTTTTCTCTAGTCCACTAATTTTCTTATTTGTTGTTATTATATATATATATA